ACTCCTGCTTTTGCCGCGACGTAATTTTGCAGGAGCCAACCAAGGCTGGGTCTGCCACCTATAGGCACTACAGATAACAGAAGCACCTCATCGGCTACAGACTTAGCAACGATGTCGGGAGAAACAAATCAGCCCACATGGTCGTTTGGTCGTTGAGTCGGTCTCCCTAACTATGGTTTAAACACGGAGGTGGTCTTTGCCGTCTATGCGTAGCCATAGGATAGACAGGTCAAGACTACCGAAGCGTCGCGAACAGATACTCTCTGACGTACACACAAAGTCCGTCCCGATGTAGAAAAAAGATTTTGCTCCGTTTGCCTCGATTACCGTGTAGCCAATTTATATCCCCCCCCCGCGCCAGTATATGCAGGGCAGCCTGAGCATCCACGCCAAGGAAAAAGACAATTTGGGCGTAGCTACCTAAGAGTCCTCCAGGATAATCGATGCTGGAGTAGATTTTTATTTAACACTCATTTTTTTTTTACAAAATACGTAGTACTCATTACAAAGAACGTACCGAAAAACGTATATCGCAACGAATTTTCTTGCAGTCTTTAACGGCGGGTTTGAGTATAAAAAGTGTCAGTGTGCGTGCGAGAGGTGAATAGAAGTGACGCCATCATAGATTACTGACTATATACTAGGACGCCATTTTGAATACCATTTTTTAACTCACGTGTAGTGTTATATTTGAGGCTACATTTTTAAATTAGAGGATATAAAAATATGACAGTTATGACAGTTATCATTTTTGTCATAGATTAAGTATTTTAAATATATTTTTGACTTTGGGTTTAACTCCTAAAAATTGGCAAAATACTATGTTACTTAAGTTAAACAAATAAAGTTTTTAACTATCTAAAATAAGCGGTTGTCTAAATTTTTTGCTGTGTACATTGATATACGTATAACAAGTATATATTTATAAATCTATGTTGTATAATGCGCGAATGCACCCATTTGTTATTTTACAAACAGGCTGCATTATTTTTGTGATCACTGAGATACCGAGATAAAAATAACTTTGATATTTTCGTAATGTTTAACAAACATCCAAGCGATCCTCGAAGCAATGTTCATAAATACAGTGGATACCATCCTGCTAAGTATGTTTAAGCTTTAATCAAATGCATCAGGCACATTTGTATGCGATGATATTATTGATTTTTAGTATGGCTATCTTTAGAACTCCATCATCGTTCACTTACAAGTAGGTAAGAGACCAACATTGACTAGCCTTCGGTAAATCTGATTTAATTTTTTCCGTGTTTTTATCACGATAAATTTTATATAGCAATCTCTATTTCCCATTGATCGACTTCTAGCTCCTTCTGGCAGCCAGTAGTTAGTAGCATAGTCTGTAAACAGTGGAATATCAGCAGATGAGTTACCAATTATACGATACCATTTTCGACGAGCCAGCTAGCGTTACAGTCAGTTTCTTTAACATTATTAAACAGTTGTGCGACTGTACGACAGTTGTAAAAAAAATGTTATGAGCTGAATCTCTCGCGTGTTGATCTCCGTAAATTAGACTGCCAGTCCTTTATTAAACTTTCAGCTCCGTTAAAAGCGAAATAAACTTAGAATTCGTCTCAGAAGTCTATTCTAAATTTAAATGTAGATAAGTAATTATTTTATTACATATCGTTCAAAAAATACTTTTAAATAAGACACGTGTGATTTAGATGTGGACGGGCGTGTCGCTGCCGGGAACAAAGTCAATGGTGTCCTGAATGCGTTAGTCAAAAGGCAAGGCGTAGTGAAGAGTGCACGCCTTGCAATACATAACGCAGTGTTGGTACCGACTTTGTTATATGGCAGCGAAACCTGGGTATGCCAGAAGAAGCATAAAAGCAAGTTGAATGCAGTGGAGATGCGATCTCTTCGTAAAATGTGCGGCGTTACCATAGCCGACCGAAAGCGAAACGAAGAGATTCGCAATATGGCAGGATTGAAGGATGACCTTATCACAAAAATTGATAGGGGCGTACTCCGATGGTTTGGGCACGTTTAGCGAATGAGTGAAGACCGAATGGTGAAGAAAATATATAGCGCGGAAGTAAATATTAAAAGGCGTCGAGGTAGACCGAGACTAACTTTCGAAGACCATGTGAGCAAATTACTCGAAGAGGGGAAGGTCAAGAGTACTCGGATACCTAGACGTGCATGTATGAAGAAGATAATGAACCTGAAAGAAGGAAAGAGGTATGTAAGGGTCGTGACAATTGGCGATCTGTTCTCTCTGGCTACCCCGTTAGGGATTGTGCGTGAAGATAAGTAAGTAAGTAAATAAGACACGCGCGCTTGGCGTAACAATATTGAGGTGGCTAACCATCAAAATAATATTGTAATACGACATAACTAAATACGACATAACAAAGGGTAAAAAAAACTAAGGGTATAAAAGCACTACGTATAGCTTATTTATTCTGTGGTATAGTGGATAAGAATGCGTGTTCACCAAGGGCACGACCCAATTCAATGCACGACGGTGGGTGACTCATTAGCGCAGAAATTTTTGAAATCATTATTTTTTTATATAATGGATATTTATATAATATATTGTATGCTTAATCTAATATTTTGTAATATTCAAAAAATATAATTTTAATCTATTATGTCAGTGCTTGACTTAAAACAATCCCATCCGAAAATTGCAAACTGGCCATCTTAACAAAAACCTACAATTAACTTCCACCTGAAGATATCCATAATATTGTTATTGGATGGAAAAAAGGACGCTGACAAATTATTATACTCTTTTGCTGTACGCATTACGTACGATGAAAGAAAATCGTTTGGAATGATCTAATAAAAAGGTATTAAAAAACTTCACAGGTATGCTCTCGACAACGTCTCACTCACGGTTCGCACTGATGAGAGCTTAATTCCCGGCCGTCCACCATGTTTGACACAAAAAACAGTTGGATTATATCTCCAGCCCTTAAGCAGGGAACTTGCGGAAATGCCACCAAGGTTTTATGCACAAATGTTATGTAGTTTTAAATTTTATATATTTTTTCGATTACATTGAGATACGAACTAAAATCTACCAATAACCAACTTCAAAAAAATAAGGCTGCTAATGCATTGTCACTTCAAAAGGTTTCCGGCAGTAATTTTATTACTCTGGTACTCTTGAGCCATACTAACTTTTTGGACCATTCAGACCAAAACACAGTACTTAGTGCACGCACTGCTGTTTGACTGCAGAAATAGATAAGATAGTACCTATCTACCCAGAACCGGGTATGACGGGAATATCTCATGTACTGCGATGGTATTTGGATAACCGGCACACGGACAAACATATACACCCGAAATAATATTTGTAGGCTTTACAAGCAGCACCACAGACAAACGCTTAGTCATTGCGCGGTACCGAGACGTAAAGGTTAAAATCCTCGCGATCATAGACATAAGATATTGTAACAAATCTGAAGTTAATTCCGTAAACTAAGTAATACGTGGTAGAGACATGCTGCAGTCATATTAGTAGTATAGTTGTAGCACGAATGGGTCGGCTCGACCGGGGAAGGACCACGTTCTCACAGAATACCAGCGTCAAATAGTAGCTTAATGCTGCTGTGTTTCGTATGGTGAGTGTAGAGAACCGGATACCCTTTTTACTGGAAACGAGGCATTCCACCTAAGTCCTCACGGATGACAACGCATCTGCATTTTGATTCGTAATCGAGGATAGATGTAGATGTCTATGGGCCACAGCAACCACTTACCATCAGATGGACTGTGTGCTCGTTTGTCATCCTATCCTATAAAAAAATGTCTAATAAACTGTAAATTAAATACATTATTTAATAAAATTATTTAATTATCGTCCTAATAATGGCACAAGACTCGCACAACTTGGTCTATTTGTCAGAGTGTCCTCCTACTGAATTTCGGGTCCTGTATAGCGATAGTGGAACTCTGATAGAACTGGTTTACCAGAGGAAAATACTTCGCAACTGCATTATATTATGGTACTTCATTAGAAAAATAACCTAAAATAAGATACTATTATAAAAATACGTCAGCCTATAATTGGTAAGAATTACGAACCCATTTACACATTGTTTACCCATATACAACCATATAAATGTATATGGGATACATCAAGAATCTTAAAAAAACAAATGATAAACTTCAAAACGAAACCATAGCTATGCGGTCTACGAGAGCAAAGTAGTGGGAAAAATACTAGTAAACCTGTATAATTTTAGTCTGCTTGTTCACGAACAAAAAAGGTTGCTTGTTGTTGCACAATATCAGTAATCCAGACTCTTAACTACCGAATTGATTTTGATGAAACTTTTCCGCTTGAATACTTATTAGATTTAATTTAAAGCTGGTTTAAATTTTAATCTGAATGAATATATTAAGAGCTTACCTAAATAACACATTGAAGCTTACGTTTCTTTTTCGCAAAACATTGTTAATTTCATCGTTACCTAGGCCCACATATTTGTGTATCTTTAAGATACACAAATACCGAATAAAAATACTGAGCAAACTCAGTAGCACACTGCTCACTAGTAAGTACCTTATTATCTTTTAAAATCTTGCGTGGACTTCTGCTGTCTTTTTTTGAGTTAATGTAAGCCCAGAACGCCTTTGGATTTTCCTGAAACTCACTCTGCATCCGGTCTTTATAATTTTTGTACGTGGAGTTTATTAAATATTTTACATACGTTCTACACTTAGCAAACGCTTCATAATCGGCCCCTGATTTGCTAACCTTAAACTGCCTATAAAGTCTAGCTTTTAATTATAATGTCTATCGTGTATCTATCGTGTATAGAATAATGTCTATCGTGTACCACTCGGGGTAACTGTACTCCGAGTTTACACGTCTTCGCTTTTTTCTTGGCACGCAGTCATCCATAACTTTGTTTAAAACCTCATAAAAATAATCTAAACTATTATTTACATCTAACCTATACATTGGCATCCAATCTATGGCCGCTATTAACGAATACATTAACGGAAAGTTTGCTTTATAGAAGTTCCATCCAGTATGCGTCTGATTGCTCCCCCTCAGACTCAGCTAGCAGTGGCGCCGGCGCGAGCTGCTCGCCGTACCGCGTACGCCCCCGCTGCACCACAATGGCGAGCGGAGGATGATGTGGGTCGGGCGGCACGATTGGCTCAGCCGCGCGCACCTCCAATTCTTTTTCCACTGAACGCGTGCTCAAAACAAGATCTAATTGTCGTTCATTGCAATTTCCTATTTTGTTGTACTGGGTGAATTCACAATATGTGCAAAAGTACTCAAAATGATTGCGTACATTTGTTGAGCTAGAATATAAATTAAAATCGCCTATCACTATTAAATCATTGTAGCCATCACGATAATTTTCTATTATACTTAACAACAACATGTATTCATTATCACCACAACTCGGTGGAATGTATACTACACACAACACAAACATGAACTTATTTTGTTGATAAACCGCAGCGCTAACCAGTTCAAATGCGTGATCTTGAATACGTACATCGTTCGGGGTATTTAGTTCCCGCAGCTCGTATCGTGGTGTGGCTACTAAACACGCACCACCCTGCTTGCGTCCGTCTGCCCGATCACACCGAAGTATCATGTATCCAGGTGGGATTAGTTCTGAATCATAGATAGAATTGTTGCATCCTCTTTCTGTTATTGCAAAAAAAATCATAACTATGGGAAGAAATTCCCACATAAAAATCGTGTAATTTTGTTCTCAATCCTCTCATGTTCTGATAGTATATCTCCACAAAATTGAGTGGTTTCTTATTACTTATTGGGTGGTTTACGAAACCACACCCATTCACAAAATTCAATGTTAACTGCCCAACATTCTGGTTTACATAGTATTTCGTATGAACTTTCTGGAACTCCTATTATAAATGACGCATAGTCTCGTTCCGTCTTATGTTTAATTTTTTCCACTGTTATTTCCGTCTCTTTTCCATATATATTCTTCACATGTCCTTCCAAACTTTCTACTGTAATATCCTTTTTTAATCGCCAAACATGTAAAAATTTTTTTCTTTCAGTACCTTGAATATTTCCTGTACCAGTATTTCCTCCTCTTAAGACTTGCCTCTCAGGATATTTCTTTTTCTGTACAGTTATCCATGATCCTTTCTTTTTGCTAGTTTCCATCTTATTTTCTGTATTATCTGTCGATAGTTGTTCTTTATCAAAACTCTCCGCAGCGGTTTCTATATTACATGTCGGTTTCATGGCCACGCATACCACTACACGCTTATCTTTGTTATTAGCTTTGTTTACTGGCTGATTTTTGCTTAGTACCTGCTTTTCGTTTTGTGTGGGTATCTTTGCAAAGGATAAAGTCTCCTTCTGATTTCCTTAACTGTCTCATTTCTTTCTTTTGTAGGCTGATTTTTGTTCAGACAATTCTTTAATTGCTCATTTTCTTGCTCCAATGTTTTTATCTGCGCTTCTAATTCATCGACTTTGCTTGCCTTCTTCTGCACTACTTTCAAAGTATCTCGTAATTTACGCAATTCTGTTTCGGTATCAACAAACCTGTCCTTGAGCAAATTGTACTCCCTTATTTGTTCATCTATTTTAAAGTTCATTTCAAATCTAAATTCTTGCAATTCTTGCAGTATTTTACTACTGATATCCAATTCTATAACTTCTTTTGGAAACATCCTATTGCCTCGGTCTGAGTTTACATAGCAAGGTGTAGAAGTTTGATTCATTATATTCTGGTTACCTCGAACTGGTGTTTCCGAATTATACCGTTTCGGTGCACTGCAAACACACTCCGGGCATCTCCAATTGCACTTGTATTCTTCGGTAAACGCTTCGTATTTATCCTTCGTCAGAGCCAAGCACTTAAGATGGTACAATTTATTGCATCCATCTCTTGCACATTCCATGTACGAAATGTCGTATATTACGGCATCACAGCCGTTACATTTTCGATCCATTTATTTGAAAAATACACGTTTTCCGCTATTAATTATTTTTCCGCTAATAATAATTTTGTTGACGCGCGCCCTCCGTATCCTCAACCGTATAGCAGAAGACATAGATATATTTTGTTGTACTCTGGGTGGGTTCATAGTAAGAGCTCTGTTTGAAATTAGTTATGGTCCTTATGTGATATAGATACGTGTTTGAAATAGCAATAAGTACATGTCTGTAATCGATTAGCTTGTAACTATGTAGTTGGAGTTGGTAAAATAGTTGTCTACATTATCGCATTAGGTGATAAACCTGTAAAGATAATTGTATAGTGGAAAATAAATAAATAACCCGGATAATCTTTCTCGTGTCATTGTGATTCGCAGCTAAGATTTTACTTTGCACAAATTAAATAACGATCTCTCCGCTGGTGCTACGCTGACTGCGAGAGTCGTTTTGCGAGAGTTGAGTTTGACTATGTTATGGCACTATTCTTGGTCGCATGTTTCAATGAGATGAGCTAACGACACAGGTTTGGCGGAATTTTTTTCACATTCTCTTTCTATTTGGCCAACCAGAGTCGCTATTTGTTTATTACAGTTGATTTACTATCATGAAAATTTTATCACGCAGTTCATTTATCGCTGGTTGTAGTGACTGAGCGACTAACACGAAAATGTACCAATATGCTCACTCATAATTCGCTGCGTTCTAAATTACGCATGGATTTTTCAAAATTATATTCAGGGATTGGATATAACATTAGCCTATCGATCTCGTTATAACTATCGCTCGGTGACAGCGATAACTCGGATACAGACTCGGATTCGGATTTCATTTATGCAGTTGTTTAAAATGTGTGTGCGAATGACCACAAAATTTTTCCTCCCGTTACAACTTTAGAAGTCCATTTCTGAACATAGGCCCTTTCCATGGTTTCACAAAGGATATATCGTAGACAGATAAACCTAAAGACTAATGATTAGTGTGGCCTCGAGTGAGAAAGGACGATAATGTAGTTTTAGGTTATACAATAATCTTTATGACTTTTGAACATATCTAGATAAAAATGTTAATTGTTCTAAGAACTGAACTGAACAAGATTCACCAATCTTAAGCTCACAAAACACTTTTTTCTCACTTAAATCAACTTGTAAACTCCTTAGATCGATATGAACTGTCAAAGTTGTTTAGCAAAGTGTAGTTTGCTAAACAAAAAAACCGACACGGAGAAAGGGACAAACGATCACACCGCTTTGTCTCATTTCTATGCAAGACGTATGCATAAATCTATCTTTTTCGTGTGCGAATGCGAAAGAAGGCGTCAACATTATCATGTAAGCCACAGCTATAACGCGTGACAGTCGGGTAGCGACCGCAGTTTTTTTAAGTTGTCTTTAGGAAACGCTGCTCCCCATCTCCTGGATTCTCTCTGTCACCTATTATGACAATCTCAGGACGATACAGGGTAGTAGGTATTCTTACATTGTCCTTACACGGTGACTATTACTTCATTTGTAGTACATACTCTATTTTCATATAATGTATGTATTATAATTATGTTTTTAGTATGTAGTTACTACTGTTAATAGTTTTATAATAGTTGGCAACCCTACTTCTAAGCTACCATGGCTCATCATTATTACTAAAACCAAAGGCATGAAATAATTCTTACTAACAGGCCAACTGTAGACGACCTATCAGATGCGGTACTAGAAAGAGCAGTTCAAAGAGACAAAGCGTTTTGGGTGGACAAACCTGGCGCAAACGCTTATACGCTCCACGATGCCTATAACAATTATGGAATGACTACTGAAGTAATCAAACCACGTATGTAAAAATTCTTATACAGAAACTTTTGCAAGAGCTTTTTCCGTGTACCACTATGAAACGGAAGCTTAGAAAGCATATAATACTATAATACTTGTGTATTCTATGTTATAAAGTAGGTTTTGTATGTTTGACCTTGATTAAAATTTTAACATAAGCAAACTAATTCATAGATAAATGATACATAAAATACAATAAGTTATAGTATTCTATGACTATTAATTAATATTTTTAAAGGGAATAAAGAAGTAGTGATAGTTGGCAATCCTTTTGTCCTTCTGAAAGTGTGATTTAATTAAGTACTATGGATTTATTGAGTCAGAATTTGCTATATAATCGTTTATAATATACAATATAGCGTTTATAATTTTTTATTACTATGTAAATGATCTACAGCGTGTTTTGAAATGTTATAGGTTTTAAGATCAAAACAGATACTTATGTAGTAGACCTGTAGAACATTGAACGAATTGTGGTTAATTCGTTCATGAGTACCTTGATATCTTAAACCCCGATAACGTAATAACCTCTATAAATCCATAAAATTTTATGTTCCCTTCCACTCGGGGTCCAAAACCTCTTTTGTAACTTAACCCTTAAGTGCATGAACTTTTTGTTTTAACTAATTTAAACATATAATTTAGATGTTTAGGTCTTGAATTTGGGAAAAATAAAGAAAAAAAATTATTTTCATTTTATTAAAGTAATTTTAATAAAAAAAAAGTTTGTATCATTTTTGATACATTATGCATTAACGTCATTTTTTGTACGGTAAGTTAAGTAACTTTCCTACCTAACCGATTTTGTTGAATAGTTCCCAGACATAATATCCCTTTCTTAGCTAAGTAATACATATGAGATAAAGAGGTGTGGAAATTGTGAAAGTAAACAATGTGGTTTACTTTGCGTGGGATAATCCTCAACAATTTTACAACAGTGTTCCCAACCACTCCCAGATATGGTTCGTTTTCCATCATAGGTTCATTATCTTTTCCTGTATAAATTATAATTTTGTATGCATACCCTACCAGAGAACATAGCATATAAAGTTTGAACCCCCCCATTTGTGAGGTTTATTTGGGAGGTATTGTTTTAGGAAGTGGCCCATTTTCGTTGCACACATTTTTATGTGTTCATCTGTGGAAAGCCTTTGGTCTATATGAATGCTGGAAACTCTCATTCAGATGTTCTACCTCAGGTCGCAGCTTGTGTAGTTTATCGTGGTTGGGGTTGTCTATAGGCAGGTGTTTGAAGTTGTCGTTAAAATGTAATATATATCAAATTTTTTCAAATCTATATAATGTCATACTCTGTATAATTGGCATAATTCCGTATTTTTTATTCCAATAAGCTCCTATATTTGGATGATGAAAAACTGACATAGATATTAATTCCCATCAAGTACTATTGTAACTTTGATTTTGTGATTGGATCTGGTCGGTCGGGATTTTTTTGGATTGAATATAGAGTAGACCTTTTACAATCTTATCTAAAAAATCAGGAGTAAAAAAATAACTGAAAAATTGATATGGGCTTTCTAGGGCTATAACTTAAAGAGAATATTTTGTCTCGTTCTGAAAACGAATGCTATCTTCCCAAAACTCTGAGGAATGTTTCCTCCATTTGAGTCTAGCAGTTTCAATCGTAATATGACACCTGTTGGGAATATTTTGTGCAAAACCACTACCTTCATTAACTAAGGGAGGATTATCATCATTTCGCAAATAATTTTCGTCATTTACAAGAGGTGGTACACCTTCGTCCCGGATTTGAGGCTTATGGAAATAACCGTAACCCATTTGTTCTTCCCCGTGATTTACTAAAGCAGCACGAATTTCATCAATATTTGGGTGATAATCTAATTCATAATCATCAGACTCTGCTTTCTCCTCCGATAAAAATCCACCTTCCAATATTGCTAAAAGGTCTTCAATCTCATTATCTTTTATTTTTCTTTTTTCCATGCTCTAAAAGTGAGGAAAAACATATAACAATCACATATCATACAAGCCTACTATACTGGCGAAAATGTACAAACGGGACCTACTAACTGCATAATGTATCATTTTTGATACAACTAAAATTATCATTTTTTTTATCAAACGCCAGTAAAATTCACTTGAAATATGTGTTTAACAGTGAAACAATACTCTAACCTGTATTTTTAATATTTTTTCGGGTCAGCTTTTGTGTTAAAATCACTCCAAAATAAATCAATAAAAATTTATAATCCCACGAAAAAGGTTATGACAGACAGGAAAAAAGTTTTCATAGTTACCGCCAAATTATTTAGGAAATGGTCATCGATTACTTAAACATTCTAAAAGATGATTAGGCATAGGACATATTTAACATACAGCATAGTTGTGTGTACGTAGTTTAACAAAATTATGAATCGATAATCTCATCGTATCATTTTTGATACAATATGCACTTAAGGGTTAAAGAATAATTTAGGCGTCGCCCCTCAGTAATTCAAAGTTGTAACGAAGGCCACCTTTGCAACTTCAATCATTTATCAATGAATAATTTTAAATGAATGTGCAAACAATAAAGGTTCGCTGTAGACTGTTGTTATTGCTTACACGGGTTTATCAAATGAGTTCAAATGTAAACAATACACTAAGTTCTAAGTACAATATTAATTGTATCATAAGCTTTTTTATAGAGATTTTTTACGATCTTTTATAAAGCAATGCAGAAACACAGAAGAAGATATTGTCCCTTTTTTATTTCATATTGAAAATAAAATTGATGTAGACAGTGTGAATAGTTTAAAAAAAATTGCCGACTTTTTTATGTAGAATAAAATAAACTTGAATTAATGTATCTTTAA